AATTAAATTTAAAATTTATGCTGCGCGTTTACTTGGTACATAAAATAACGTCACAGCAGTGCTTTAATATTTATTATATAAATGCATATGAAACTTTCACTTCAATACCGTTGTGTGTGCAACAAAATGCGTACGGTGCTTAAACAACTGAATCAACAAAGATTTCTAGTCATTTTCGTTATTCATTTGTATTTGTTGGAAAAATCAATATTGCTGTGCAATTGTGTTCATGGTTTCAGGTGAGTAATGTGCATTTTGACAATTTAATATTTCTATATTTGCAATTGACATAATTCGAGTACATATTTTGCATAGAATATGCTAAATGTTACATCAGCAAATTGGATGCACGTGTTTAAGTTTATACATGCAAACTTCTGAATGGATTTGACACTTCGCTTGTCATAATATATGTATATAAATAAACTAAACTAGAAATTAAAGGAGAATTAGATAAAAAAAATTAAAAAGGTCCTGCAAATTAAATGAATTGAAAAGTATACAATTAAAATAAAAATTAATTAAAAAAGAAAAGAAAGTACATCAGTTAAAAAAATAAGCTATTTAAAAAATATATATTTTTCATATTCAAATATAAAAATTAAAAGAAAATTAAATTAAAAAAAGAAAAAATTTTTTGTTTTTGTTATTTTATGGTCTTATGACAATTATATTCAACAATTTTTATTGAGCTTGAGGCCGTTTTTAATGAAAAACTTATTATTGTTGCTGTCCACACAAGTCAGAATTGCGCTGTAAAACGATTGTGTAACATGACGCTGAGCAACACCATTAGCTCTGACAAAATTGGAAAGGAGCAGTTTGATACCAAAAGAGGTTTCGTTAGATTTCTTTAATCTGAAGTTCAAGAAGATAATAAGAACTGCGCAACTGAACCGCACTGGTCCATTTTTTTAAAACACTCCACCTGGCCCACGTATACCGATGGCGAAAAGTCTGTGTCTAGAAATTAAATAAAAAGAAAAGCGTTTAGATCTGGAGGTGAATGAGGACAAAACGAAGTATTTGCTGTCATCAAACAAGCACTCAGTGCATACGCGCCTAGGCACCTATGCCATTGTTAACATCTGAAAGATAGGATTTTGAAGCTTTTGAGGAACTCATACACTTGGGAAACTATCGTGAAAGCCGATAATAATAAAGTAGTAAAGTCCTCTCTCGACGTACCACACACACTATGGAATTATGAGCTGTATGAGCTTTACAGCGACATTGACATAGTCCAACGAATCAAAATTTGGCGCTGCGCTGACTTAGTCATATCGTACGAATGGATGGCAAAGAACCACCCTGAAAGTACTCCGTATGGTACGAGCTGGTGGTTGCAGAGAAAGAGGAAGGGGGCTTCTCTGCTTATAAAATGTCCCTGCCAAAACTGCTAAAGCCGCTTTAGAATGTTGTAAATGTACTGGGATTTGCCTTAAATACGAGTAGACAGTTTAATTGCCTGGCTTGGTACTCCTCCTCATTCACGGGTGCTAGGGCCCGTGTAAGTAAAGGGAAGAGTGAACGCCCTTGACAGAGCTCGTAGGGCGAACAAGTGTGGTGTCTCGACGTTGGGGGATTTTGGCGTAGCACTCCTACCCTTGCCATTTGCACCTCCGTGACGATTGCCCTCTCGATTCTTGAACTTTTACGATATCCGACTTGCTGCAGCGCTTTCAATGCTCATATTTCAGCTGCCAATCGCCTTGACTTGGGCAGAGATACAGCAGGTTTCGTCGAGGGAATTCTGTTTGCTATCCTCTTACTGCCTTTTGTATAGCCCCTTCCCTTTACTCAACCCAACTTGGGATCGGCTTTGCCAGAGCTATAATTTAGATTAAAAAATAACAAACTTTAAACCTGGAAAAAATTACTTTCATTTACAAAATAATCACCATCTTTAATTTTTAGAAATATCACTGAAAGTGCAGAATTAGTCACCGGCATCGAATCCAGCTTATCGTTGCCTGATATATTGCCAATACCATCGAAAAATTACGATAAAAATCGCGCGCCAAAATTACTCGGACAGCCGACCGTTGTCTATTTTCATGTGACAGTGTTGTCATTGGATTCGATCAATGAAGAATCGATGGTAAATACACAAAACAAAAAATTAAAAAAAAAAACTATTTTGCAAAATTCAAGAATATGCATAACTATCTCTACTTATAGACATACGTCACCGACGTATTCCTAGCACAAAGTTGGCGTGATCCCCGCCTGCGACTGCCAGAGAACATGAGCGAACAGTATCGTATACTGGATGTCGATTGGTTGCATAGCATTTGGCGGCCAGATTGCTTCTTCAAGAATGCCAAAAAAAGTCACATTCCATGAGATGAGCATACCGAATCATTACCTATGGCTATATCATGACAAGACATTGCTCTACATGTCAAAGTGAGTTACGAGTATGCAATTGCTTTGTTGATGAGAATGCATTTTTTTCATAAAAATTTAACAGAACATTAAATTGAAATATGTAATCCCATTGCCTACTTTGCCTTTGCAGACTAACTTTGGTGTTATCTTGTGCCATGAAATTCGAATCCTATCCACATGATACACAAATTTGTTCCATGATGATTGAGAGTTGTAAGTTGTTTTGGTTTAAATTAGTAATTTATTTCTTGTTTGAACTTATGTAACTAACTTTCTGTTTTAGTATCACACACGGTTGAAGATTTGGTATTCATTTGGAATATGACCGATCCGTTGGTGGTTAATAGCGAAATTGAATTACCACAATTGGATATATCGAATAATTATACAACCGATTGTACCATAGAATACTCGACAGGTATGATTATTTTATATTTAGGTGGATAAATGAAATTTAATACGGGTGCAAAAATTCACACACACACACACGCACACACTCACCCATTCGTCCATACATACATACATACATAAGCACTGCGCATACAAGGAGCTGCGCAAAAACCAAAGACTCAAGGCACAAACTTTATTTGAAATTCAATATGGACCAAAACTCTTCAAGTTTTTTTTTTTCAACCTGATAATTTTTAATATTGATTGGCGAAACTGGGAATAAGTATACTGAAAAGCTCCTAAAGTCGGAAAGAATAACGAAAAGTAGTATACGACCAACACCGAAAAAATTCCGAATAGTCCTGGAAAAATGCTTAAAGCTCTCGAAAAATAAAACTTGCAGAATCTGCAAAGCCTGGTAAAATTCCAAAATGTTAAATCTGAAGAATACCGAAAAGTCTCGAAAAGCTCCAAATAATCCCGGAAAAGAAAGCACCAAAACTCTAAATAGCTACGAAAAATCTAGAAAACTTCGAAAAAAATCGTGAAGTTCTAAAAAAATTACAAAGTTCAAAAAAAAAATAAAACTCAGAGAAGTCCTGTAAAAACCCAAAAAGTAAAACTGGAAGAATACTAAAAAGTCTCGGAAAAGCAAAAAATCATGAAAAATCGCGTGAATAATCCGGCAAATCGAAACCAAGAATCCAGGAAAGCGCAGAAGAAGTTGAGAGAATTTCCAAAAATGTCTCGAAAAAATTCCCAAAGTTCAGAAAAGTCCGAAAAAATCCCGAAGCTCGCGAAAAGTAAAACGAATCCGAAAAATGCAGAAGAGTCGCAAAACGTAAAGCACGACGACTCTCGGTAATCTGAAAAGTAAACTTGATCCCGGAACATTAAATACAAATAACCCAGAAAATCTTCGAAAAAATACAGAAACTCCGAGAAAATCATAAAGCGTAAAACAAAAACATCGAAAAATTTCCGCAGTCGCGAAAATTAAAACATGTAGACTACCGAAAACTCTGAACGGCCCTGAAAAAATCCTTAGAAAATTTCAAATGCCTCAAAAAAACACGAAGCTTTTAATTTAATTTTATTAGAAATGCTTAAAACAAGCTAATATTAACATAAAAAAAACAAAAAGTGAAGCAGTATTTCTGTCGCGAAATGATTAGTTAATTTTTTTTTTATAGCGTGAGGAAATCATAATCTGCAATGAGAAAGGCGATCTCAATAAGACATATCTTTTGGATTTCAAAATAATTAAAAACAAAACTTTTATTTACATACATGCATATACTTTCATTAATGTAGTGATAGCGATGACATGAACATATTCATATCCTTATCTAAATTCCATATACGTATTTCGCATAGAAATTATTTCTTGGATGTTTATCTATCGACATTTATGAGTTTCCCAAAATAAATTTTTCAGGTAATTTCACTTGCCTGGCTATAGTTTTCAATCTGCGTCGACGTCTTGGCTATCATCTCTTTCACACGTAAGTGCCCCTATTACGGTAAATGAAGCACATTTTTATTTTTTTTTTAAATTCATTCCTCATTCCACTCCTCACTCACAGCTACATTCCATCTGCACTTATTGTGGTCATGTCATGGATTTCATTTTGGATTAAACCCGAAGCGATACCGGCACGCGTCACACTCGGCGTCACATCGCTACTAACACTCGCTACACAAAATACACAATCACAACAATCGCTGCCGCCCGTATCCTATGTGAAAGCCATCGATGTGTGGATGTCATCATGTTCGGTATTTGTATTCCTATCGTTGATGGAATTTGCTGTGGTCAATAACTATATGGGACCCGTGGCAACGAAAGCCATGAAGGGTTATTCGGATGAGAATATACACGATTTGGGTGATTTGAAGGTGAGAAAGGTGATGCGTGACCGCTTTGATTTTTAAATGTTGTAATAAATAAATACGAATAATATCACTAATATTTTTATGTAGAATCATCACCGTGAATCCATAATTGAGCCACAGTATGACACATTCTGCCATGGACATGCCACAGCGATTTATATTGATAAATTTTCGCGTTTCTTTTTTCCATTCTCCTTTTTTATACTGAATATTGTGTACTGGACAACATTCCTTTAGTGGTTAGTGTCGCTTAAATAAACGAGCAAATTGTTATTGTTTGAAAATTCTTGAAATTGGTATGTACATATTTACTTTAAAGTCTTTTATAGCAGAGCTATTTAAAAAATTCAACGACTCATTTCATTACATCTGGAATGGGTCTATTTGTTAATTTTATTATGGCGTAATAATGTTTATTTCAATAGTGTTATTGTGACTTGTCCCACGACTTGTTTGTTAGGAAATAGCGGCGAATCAGTTGCCCTTGATAATAGTAGGTTGAATAAGGGTGTATATAGCTCAATGGGTTTGTCCTGTTACAGGATTGACGTTAAGTAAGGCCTTTACTTAAGTACTAATGCTGGGTATTTTCCGGAATCTGCGTAGTTTATCCGCTATGCGTAAAAAATTGTATAGTCAAAGGAGTAACTTTCCCAGCACTCATGGCATTCACAATTTTCATTACCCAACCTGTAACTAGTTATTTTCGATTTTAGTACAATTTTTAAGTTATTCTTCGATTCAAATCAATTGGGCTGTTCACAGTTCGTTTCACAATGGGTTCCCAAATGTTGAGGTCAAGATTTTGAGACGTTTTCTAACCGTAAGATTTTGCGGTTTTCCTTCATATGAAAATAAACTGTGTTTATTCTTTAAATGGAAGCAAATGCGACAAAAAAATCTAAAAAATAAACGTTGAATTTTAGGCGCTTGAAACTTGCAAATTATTACACTACAATTGAGTGTGCTATAAAACTGTATAATAAAAAAATTCTAACACTTCTAAAAAAAATGTTTGAAATTTGGATGAAAATTTGTTGATTTTTTTTTAGTTTTCTACAAAGTTTTAAACAGGGTTTTGTTGGAAAATGAGATGTGTTTTAATTGAAAATTCTTAAAAATAAATAAACATAAGTGGCAAACAATAGAATAATTTTTATTTTTTTAAATTTAATATTTTTATTCCATCTTCTTTAATAAATTTTAGAACCTAAACCCTTTTGCTTAAAAAAATATAATTTAAAGTGTATTTAAATTTGTTGCCGAACCACTTCTAGCAAAGTTACGATCACTTAATCTTGAAATAGTTCGGAAAATTCCAAAGTAGTAGTATCTCGAAGTAGTGTTCCCGCGAATTCCGAAGTAGTCCCGAAATAGTTCAGAGAATCCCGAATGTCTCGATAATCCTGAAACAATCCCGAAAATCCCCAGGGGCCAGAAGTAGTCCTGAAAATCCTGTTTGATCCCAAAACATATAACCAGAGGTATCCCGTAAAGTCCCGAAGAGTCCCCTAATTACTTAAAAAATTCCAAGTATATAATACGAAGAATCACGAAAGTAAAAAAATCTTGCGCACCTAGTATGTACATTAGGGGGCCCAAATAAAGTAAAGTCGGAATTTTAATGCTCTCACTCCCTAGGAATGTTCTATACCGAAAAAATACTCCCCTATTTTCTTATTATTTTGAAATAAGAAACTATTTTGTGGCCGTTCAAAGCAATCAAAGTTTTCCATGTGTTTTATGTGGGGCGAAAAAATTTCCGTAGAAATTGTACAGATGTCTTGAAATTCTATAATTTTCGACGGGAAAGCTTTGCTTCTCTTCAGGAAACTTGCAATAACAATGCCCAATGTTTATTTAATCATATTTTAAATATATAAAATAAAAATATTTAAATATTTTTTTATTTCGAAATATTTTTTTTTTTTGATACAGAAAAATGCTAGGGGGTGAGAGCAGTCAAATTTGTGTATCACATACATAAAAACGGACCACCCTAAGTACATACATATCAAGGCCTGAAGAATAAAAGGCAAACACTGCCCATTATTTCCGCCTCAAAAAAAAAAAGGTCAGGCAAACATTGCATAACCGGTACGGTAAAGTTGGTTGAGCCTTTTTCCGATGTTGTGCTTACCTTTCTTTCCCTTCCTTCAACAATGAGAAAATTTCAATTATTAAATATTAAACAATACATGTATGCTATTTATTTATAAATTTAACTTTCTTGTTGTATGTATGTATATATGTATGTATGTATTAGTATTTAATCGGTTGATCACATTGAAAAAGTCTATTTATTAAGTTATTTATGTATGTATTTATGTTATGTATTTTTTTTACATTTAGGTTAGCATGCGGAAAAGCATTTTCAAATATCTTTTGGTACACAAGGTTTTTTGTATGTATATTTTATTGTGTACAGAGGTTAACCACCAAATAGAGCACAACAATTTCTTTCATGTATTTCTTTACACGCGTTTTTACACCTGCTGTTATACATTTCGGTTGATTTGTAAAATATGCAATTTATTTCGAAATATCTACACAATTAAATATTGGCTCTATTTAGCTGCCCATCTCTGTATACATTTACTTATAGGCGTTTTTTGTTTATGTATGTATGCATATTTATTGAAATATAGAAAAAAGTAATTTTCAAAACTCACCTCTCTATTAAATACAGGGTAATTGCAGCTTGTCTATAAAATATGTTTTTTAAATAGTAAAAAAAAAAAACTTTTAATAATTATTATAAGAATAATTAGACTAATCGATCTATAACTCATTTATTATGTATATACTACTATACAGGACATACAAATGCATCGCAATATCATCTAGTACTACAGAGAAATTGCGTTTTTCGTAAAGAGATAATAAGAATTGAAGCCAAAGCTAATTTATACTATGTAGTATGCAAGTATGTATGTAAATACAAAATGCGCGCGCGCACACACACTTACGCACACAGATGGGAGAGCGTCGATATTTATGTATATTTAATTAATTATTATTTTTTTTTTTACTAACGATTAATATTTTTTTATTTGCTGTTGGCAGCGTAATTAAAGTATAAAATATTTCATTTGATTTCTTTAAAAAAAAAATATTACAAAAGCGAAGCAGAAAATAATAATCACACACAAAGTTTCTTAAACATAATTGCTTAAATAATGCTAATATATTGTATATGTAATTTTGTATATTTTTGTTTTTGTTTTTTCGCTTCATTACCGCTGCTAAACTTTGAGTATAACGCTATATATTTTTTTATTTATACTTATTTCATTTGGTCGTCCATTTTTTGTAGTTTAATTAATTTTTTTTCTATGTTAAGCTTAGCTTAGCTAAAATATTTATACGTAAAAAATAATACACGCAAGAAACGGAAATATGTATGAGGAAATGCTCCCAATGAGCAGCTAAATTCATTTACTGTAAGCAAGCTTGAATTTTCTCAATCCATTCTTGTGCTAAATTCGCATTAACCGCATAAAAGTTGTAGGTGCGCCGATTGGTCTTCAGCTATGTGAAAAATGAGAGTATAGATATGAAATATATATTTATGAGTATATCATATCTTTGTACATCCATACATATGTATGTATTTATCTACATATCGGTTTTAAGATCATAAATCATAAATAAAAATCCAATATAACGATGATTTTTTATCGAAAAATAAAAAAATCCAAATTTAACGACTGTTCTTGAATGGAAAAAATAACGATTTTGCAATGATCTAAAAATAAAAAACTTGATATTTAACTGTTATTTTCGTCACTGGTTTTAGTATGAGCTACTACTTAAAAACGCAACAAAATGTTTTCTTGAAAAAATTTCAGTTAGGGCCTTTCTACATTTCATCAACGATATGTATACATATTCTGTACACCAAGGTGCCTTCAACTTCATATCGAAAAGTAGGGCCCCTTTTTCCATGTAAATTATAATATTTGCTTCTTTTCATGACACCTAACAAAATATTTTCGCTCAACACAGGTTAATTCGTGAGCTGAATTGTATCGAAACTATCTCGAAAAAAAGAGAGAATTTGTACTGCAAAATTTATTGTCATAAACAGGGACGGATTTTATGTAAGTTTTAGTCTTTTCTGCTAAAAAATAGAGTAGTTTAAAAATTACCACGATTTAGGTTTCCTTGGTTGCCTTTTTTGCCATTGCTTAAGTGATTATGGCAAACTTAAAAAATTTAACAAAATTTTATATTAAAAATAAAGCCCACAGCTCTGCGAAAATAAGTGGTTTGGATAAGATTCAGAAGAAGCTGTTTAGATGAGCGCAGGTCTCTACTTCCAGACGGGTGTTGGAAAAATTCAAAGCCGCATTTTCAGCTAACAGAACTTTGGAGACAATAAGGGCCGTTGATAAAATTTTGATGTACGATGTATATGCACATCGCTAGCTAGGAGTGAAAAGTTGCCAAGTCTACTTTTTGTAAAAACTAACATTGTGATACAGAAAACAAGGAAAATTAAAAATCGTTTTCAAAAACACCGAACTACTTATTTTATTTCTACCTATTTTTAGGCAGTGAAATGAAGATTTTAAAAGAAAGCGCAAAGAAGCCGAAAAATTCAAAGGAACGCAGAATTTTTATTAATGTCGAATTCTACCAAATAGTACAGTTATGTTTTAGTTTGAATACACCAACAAAAAAAAAATTAAAATTAGTTTTCTGTTTTTCTTTTCTCCTGTAAATTTTTAAAAATTGGACTTAACAAATTTTCACTTTATGCTAGCCATATACTGTTTTAATAAGAATTTCTAAAAAAAATGCATTGTATAACGAAAAAAATCTGAAAATACTTTATATGGAACAAATGGGTAAGGCAGTCAGCAAAAAAAATTCTCAAAAATCAACGCGAATTTTTAGACATTTGAAATTTGCACATTATTATACTAAAATTTAATGGGCTATAAAACTGCATACCCGAATTCTATCATGAAATTCATATTAAAAATATTTGCGATTTTGCTAAAACTTTGCAGATTTTTCTTATTTTTCGTACACTGTTTCATGCTTGAATTTAAATGGGGTTTACTAAAATATAAGCAGCATTTTAATACAAAATTAACAAAAAATTCTAGCATGTAAAACATTGCGAATATTAACACAAAAAACCGTACGCTCAATTTTGCGAGCAACAATATAGAAATCGATATAAATCATTATACTTTATTTTTTGGGGAAACAACAACTATAAGAGTTATCAAGGGCCAAACTGATACATTAAAAAAAAATAAAAATATAAAAAAGACCTGTTGCGTCCAACACCGTATCTATCACGATCAGAGTGACATAATCCAAAAACTCAAAAGCTCGAGAAAAAAGGCCTTAACATAAGTACATATGTATATGCATAGGAGTATTTGTGTGATTACTTACATCAAAGAAGCC